AGAGGTTTCAACTTCCTTTGACCCAAAATCTCTTATTTTACTTCCAAGGTACTCAATGAAAAGGAAGAGAACAACACTTGTCATCACCAAATCCCATGGATCACTCAAGTAGCCTCATGAAACAACTCCTAACACTCATTTTCATTAAGTCAAGGGTCAAAACACATAGGTTGACATACTTGAGAGATATGAAAGATGAAGATGAGTAGTGTAATACGGAGGGGAGTGATTCTACTTATTGAACTTGTGGATGGATGGCTAAATTACTCCCAAGCACATCCACAAGGATCCAAAAATATACTAGAGTTACACAGTTGAAGCTATGAAAAGCAAAGAAACAAAAGAAATAGTTATCAACTCAATGGATGAGTGGCTAAGGTTATTACCTCTACATCCATGAGGACTTACAACAATCACATAATGAAACTAAAGCTTAGAATAGTAGAAATGGAGATTAAAAAAAAGTGACTTAGATTGTGAGAAAATCACCTTTTAAGAGGATAGGCCACTTTGATTCACAAATTTCCTTTTTAACTCCCTCAATTCACTTTTATATAGATTGTTTATGATTCAAAAGAGAGTGCCCAAGTCTAAAGGCTAGTAAAAAATGTGGCGTCTACTCGAGGTCGCGCCCCATCAAAAATGGGGGGTCTATAGGAGGCCACATCCGCGATGGGCCGCGACTAGGCTGCTGCCAAAAGAGGCTCTCACGTCTGTTGGCTAGAGGGAGTACGTTGCCCGCGATGGGAGCTGCGATGCAGACCGCGGATGGTCAAAGATTTATGATTTATGAATGTATACATGTATGTGTCATGTACGGTCAAAGAGAATCAATGAAAGGTCAATATTACGTAAATTCATGTTTTCTATTAAATATCATGAGGTGTGTTATTGTTATTATTTTGTGGCATTACAATTTGGTATCAAAGCTACCAAGTTTGAATACTTTGAGATCGTGGGACGTGATTTTTTCACAATGGATTTATCTCACTAAATATTATTAGAAGTAAATCTGGTATGGTATGTGATAATATGTTTATGTGACTAGATAAGTATGGGAATTGGTTTTAAAGATATTGATTGGGTCTACGAGTTTTTAGAAGTTCTGTCAGAAGAGCACTTGATCACTGCTGATTTTAACTGGAACATTTTCATATTCTTGTGTATTTATTGATTTTTACAAATATTTTACCTTTCAAGTGCATCTAGGTTAGGTACATCTAAAAAGTAAAAAAATTACTTAAAATATTTTTAAAAATTACTATAAAAAAAAGGGTTTATTACACTTTATATCCTTAAACTATCACCAAGTTGTATACTTCCCTAAACTATTAATTGAATCTATTAAGTCTCTAAAACATATAGATTAAAGTCTATCTAATCCGTAAACTATCGATTAATTTCTTAAGTCGCTAAATTATTTAAATCAAACTTGTTTAGTCCCTGAAAAACGTTATAAAAACAAAATATAAGTCTATAAATATTATAAATTAGTAAAATATCATATTTATCTTTAAAAAGTGGGTGTTAACTCTTATAGTGAATTTCTTTTATAATGGTAAGGGTAATCATCTATAGTATTGTCTTTCTTATCTTCTAAAATGACCAAGTGTACTTGCCTTTATCTACTATTATATTTTAGATTTTGTTTATAATTTTTAACTGACTGTTTTTAAGTTTTTCGTTAAGTTCTTTTCATAATTTAATTAATATATTATTTTTTCTAGTATTATTTGTTGCAAAATGTTATTATTAAATTATCTAATTCTACTTATTTAATACTCATATACTAATTTAAATTATATTTAATACTCATATAATTTTATTGGTAAGCCTGATAAATCAAACTTTAATACTAATTTAATCACACAACGAAATAAAATACTTTTTGAATTTTAAAGACAATAAAAATGAGTGCTCAGGCCAAAAATCCAAATTTAAATTCTTTTTGCCTAATTGTCCACACTCTCTCTCTCTCTCTCTCTCTTTCTCTCTCTCTCTCTCATCTTTTCTGTTCATCTTCTTTATCTTTGATGCCGAACGACCATCGACTCTATCATCGCCAACAATATTGTCACCATCGTGATTCGATTATAATGATCTCACCACCATTCTTGTAGACCAAGTGACGTGACTCCGTCGCCTACCGTTCTCTATGTTAGGATTAGGCACACTCAAAAATCAATCACACACATAGAAATGAGACACAAGAGATTTACGTGGTTCGCCAATAGCCTACGTCCACGGAGAGATATTTCCACTATAGAATTATCCCAGAGGAGATTACAACTCACACCTCACAACCCTCTAGAGAATTTACTCTCTTATACACAGATTATACACTCTGTGTTTATTGCTCACACACTCTCTGTGTTGCCTATATCTTTTCTTCTTCTCAGCATCTATAGAGTTATTGAGTTGTTCTGCCACCTGCCCTCTTCCCTCCTACTTCTTGACTTGAAGCCAACCTTCAATAACTCCTCCAAGTGGGTTGAAGCTAACAATTCTCCCCTCCACGCCCATATGGATAACTATCTTCTCACTTGAAGTCCATCCCAGTCAAATTTTTACAAACTTCCAGTTTGTCTCTAGTGACAACCTTGGTCATCATGTTTGAAGGATTCTTCTCCGTATGAATCTTCACTAGCTTCATCAGTTGCTTTTCCATCACTTCTCATATCCAATGATACTAGACATCAATGTGTTTTGTACGTGAATGGTACATGGAATTATTGCTCAGATCAATTGCACTTTGACTATCATAATGTACCTTGTACTCTTCCTGCTGTAGACCCAATTCTTGGAGAAACCGCTTCAACCACAACATTTCTTTTCCAGCATCTGCGATAGCAATGTACTCTGCCCCTGTTATAGATAAAGCAACACACTTTTATAGTTTGGACTGCTGTGAAACTGCTCCCCCTACAAAGGTGAACAGAAATCCTGATGTAGATTTTCTATCATTAAAATCACCCACCATATTGGCATCTGTAAATCCCTCCAAAATTGGTTCATCTCCCCCAAAACATAGACACATCTTTGAAGTTTCCTTCAAGTACCGAAGAATCCATTTTACGACCTCCCAATGCTCCTTTCTTGGATTGGCATGGAATCTGCTCACAACGCTAATTGCATGAGCTATATCTGGCCGGGTACACACCATTGCATACATCAAACTTCCTACGGCGGAAAAATAGGGGATTGCCTCTATTTCTTTCCTTTCAAAGCTTGCCATAGGACATGAACGCTTTGTCACCTTCAAATGGTTGGCTAGTAGTGTGCTGATTGGTTTGGCATCTTTCATATTGAACCTTTCAATCACTTGTTGAACATATTTCTCCTGTGATAGCAATATTGGCTTTCCTGTCATGAACAATCTTGATGCCTCAAATGGCTAGTAAGCGTTACCAAACACACCCTTACGTTTTCAGTTTATATTTACAAAAATTTTATAAACTGGTTTTTGTTTATTTTTAGAAAAACATAAACTACAAACGCATTTGATAATTGACAAAATATTTTAAAAAATTTAAAAATATAAAAAAGAGTGAGAAATGGCAAGTGGTGGCAAGTGGCGGCGGAAGACGGTAATGGAAAGTGGTGACGGTGGGTAGTGGGTAGCTGGTGGTGGTGGGTGATGGTGGCAGGTAGTGGGTGGTGGGTGGCGGGTGGTGGTGGGTGGTAGTGGTAATGGTGGTGGTGGTGGTGGTGGTAGTGGCGGTAATGTTGGTAGTGGTAGTGGCATGATGGTGGTGGTGGTAGTGGTAGTGGTAGCAGTAGCAATCATAGTGGTTGTAAAATGATGATGGTGCTTATGAAGACAATAATAATGGTGATGAAGGTGATGGTGGCAGTAGTGGTGGCATGATGGTGGTAGTGGTAGTAGTGATAATGATGGTGGTGGCATGGTAGTGATAGTGGTAACGATGGTGGTAGTGGTGCGATGGCGGTGGCAGTGGCATGATGGTGGTGGTGGTGGTAGTCACTACAAAAAATTAAGGTTTTAGAGACCAAAATTTAGGAAAAAAAATTATTTTTTAGGGATCAAATATTTTTGTTGCGAAAAATGTCGTTATTATATTTTTAGCAACAAAAATTAAACATTAGTGATGAATTATTATCTTTTTCGGACCAAATTTTTTGTTTCTAAAAATAAACTATTTCGATACCAAATTATTTTGTCCCGAAAAGTGTATTTATTAGTGACATTTTCAAAATTTTGTCGCTAAAAATCTTATTTTTTACTTTTCGAGACGACCTTTTAGCAACTATCCTCACGATAATAGAAATTAATTTCTAAATGTCTTTTGCAACAAACTTTTCACTTTTAGAGACCAAAAAATTTAGACAAATCCTAAAATGCAGATGTCTATAAGATTAAAATTTTTCTTTTATGTTTGCACTTTCTGGTGGTAGGTGGTAGGTGGTGGATGGTGGTGGTGGCAGGTGGGTGGTCAGTGGTGGTAGCAGGTGGTGGTGGGGGGTGGATGGTGGTGGCGAAAGACGGTGGTGGAAAATGGTGGCGGGTGGTGGCTAGTGTTGGGGGGTAAAAAAAAAAACTCAAAACTCAAAACGGAAACATATTTTTTGTATTTTCATTTTTTAGCTAAATTTATAAACTGAAATCACTAATTTATAAATCAAAAATTTTATCAAATAAATTTTTATTTAAATTTTTAAAATTTTTATAAATACAAACAGAAAACTAAAAACATAAAGGGCAAATTACATATACACCCCTCGAAGTTTGGCTAAATTACAAATACCCCCCTGAGGTTTGAGAAATTACAAATTCCCCCCTGAATGCTATATTTGCATAAGAAATTAGGGAGTAATTTGTTATGAAATATAAACCTCAGGGGGTAAATTGTTATGAAAATACAAACCTCAGGGGGCGGGATGTAATTTCCAAAACCTCAGGGGTATCTGTAATTTAACCAAACCTCGAGGGGTGTATATGTAATTTGCCCAAACATCATAAATGTTACCGAACAACACCTAAATAACTGGGATTGTTTCATGCAGGTTGTAGCCTCCACCTGTCTGTCTCTGTGTTGGGTTCGGACTCAACGACTTCCACACACACGTCAACAGAATATGCAGCCTCTCCTCCATTGAAAGCGGTATCCATATCCTAACACTCCACACTTCTCTCTTTTCCTCCTCTTTTATACTCTGATGCTCTGATTCAATTGCCACGCTGTCGTCCTATATCAATTTTCGAATGATTGTCTGTTTTAAATTTTACAACCGTTGATTAAAGATTCTCCCCAAGATCATGGGATGGTATAGGCGCTCAAAGTTTGGATTCGATGCGATTCGTAGCTTCGCATCCAAGATTCTACCCAGAAACCCAGTTCAAAACCCCACTCCAACAATCAACCAGTACGGTTCCCCGATACCCATTTTGATTAAATCTAGGGTTTCTAGGCTTGCTCTTTCTTCTCCTATTTCTAGAAATTTGGGTTTTCAATTTGGTCTCAAACAGAATCAGTACAATCCCTTTATTGGCTGTGCTAGAAGATATTACTACGTCGATAGATACCATGTTCAGCATTTTCGTCCTCGAGGGCCTCGAAGATGGTTCCAGAACCCTAGGACTGTGTTCTTTGTAGTGTTGGTAGGTTCAGGAATGTTTATTACTGTCTACTTTGGGAATTTAGAGACTATACCATACACAAAGCGAAAGCATTTCGTGCTTTTGTCGAAAAATCTCGAGAGGCAGATCGGAGAGACGCAATTTGGGCAAATGAAGGCTGCATTCAAGGGGAAAATATTGCCGGCAATCCACCCGGAAAGCGTTCGGGTCCGATTGATTTCAAAAGACATCATAGAGGCTTTGCAGAGGGGGTTGAGGCAGGATCACGTGTGGAGTGATCTTGGGTATGCTTCCGAGAATGCTGGGACGCATGAGAATAGTGGGCATGAGACTTTGATGGCTTTGAGTGAGAGTGCTGAAGAGAAATGGCCAAAAGAAGATGAGATTCTTGATGATAAGTGGGTTCAGGACAGCCGAAAGAAAGGTCAAGAACGCGGGTCTCAGTCCGCTACTGGGCATTTGGAGGGATTGAATTGGGAGGTGTTGGTGGTGAATGAACCAGTTGTGAATGCTTTCTGTTTGCCGGGCGGGAAGATTGTTGTATTCACCGGGTTGCTCGAGCATTTTAGAACGGATGCGGAGATTGCAACCATTATTGGGCATGAGGTATATATTCTCTATAGGATTGGTGCATTCTATATTTAGCTGTTTTCTAATTATGTTACATACTGTGGTGTAAGTCTTTGGCCATTCATTGTTAATAGGTTGGGCATGCTGTGGCCCGTCATGCGGCTGAAGGAATTACAAAAAATCTATGGTTTGCCATATTGCAATTGATTCTTTACCAGTTTGTTATGCCTGATCTTGTCAACACAATGTCAAATTTATTCCTAAGGCTTCCTTTCTCACGGAGGTAAATTTTACCCTTTATTTATTTATTTTATTATTTTACTTATGTCATTCTTATTCAAGTTTGTTTGTTTTGATAGTATATTGTTTGCTCAACATTAGTGCTAGCCGATTCTAGTTGAGATTGTTATCTTAGGGAAAAACTGTGGTGTTCATATTGCAAGTAGCTACATGATGCACTTATCATGTATCGACGCGATGTTATCTTTTGTTTTTTCTTGTTTAAAGTGTAGTTTTCCTGTTCCTTTTGTAGGTAGTAGCTTTTGTCACTGCATCCTAGGGTCCATGTACCATTCAAAAGATTAGAGTTTGGCTTCTGCAAAAAATTGTGTAGTTTTATGCATATTTGAAATGATTTCTTTAAAGAGATAATAACTACTGTATTTAGTATTTTAAGATTTCTACTCTTGGCCTGGGGAGTCAACTACAGGAGAAGTTTTTGGCATTACTTCAGCACCTAAAAGAGGTTAAAGAGCCTTATTTGAGTTCTCTTTAATGTAGTTCTGCAAATGGTAATTAGATGATGCAGTAAATAGTTATATTTAGGATTGTAATTGGGTGATACGGGATGAGTATGTGGAGCACTCAACTACAATTAATGAGTCCAAATTTAATTGGCTTTTGGGCATCACATCTAGATCCCATTGGCATAGCACCTGATTTGGGGTTAGAATTGTTTCACACAATCCCACGATAACGTCAGAAGTTCTGAATTTTTTTGAACATTTATCTCAATTGAATTAGAATCATTCTTGCTTGATGTAAATTTGTAGAATTCTTAAATTTTGTAGACTTGGCCGTCTCCTAGTTTTGAAACTGTGACTTTTAATGTCTAATCTAAAACAAAGAAAAACATATTAAGGTCTAATAACATAACTTGATTCATAATATGACCTATGGGCTACATCTTAGCCTATGTCTTGAAATTCTAGAATTACTAAAATGCCTTTGACCTAAGAGCTAGGTGATTGCGAGCTACAAATTGTTAACACCTTGAAGTTGTGCGAGCTGAAAATTGCTGCGAGTCAGGTGTTTGTGAGCTATAAATTGCTGCAAGCCAGATATTGTAAGTGTGCATGCTACAAGTGGCTGCGAGCTAACTCATTTAGGCTTGCGAGCCCTTTGCTTTTGTGGGCTCACTCATTTAGGTTTGCAAGCCCTTTGCTTTTGAGGGTTGGACTTGAACTTGGCCAAAGGAGAAAAATGTTTTTGCCCAACACTCCCAAGGATTTTGCAAACTACAGAGGGCTTGTGAGCTGCGGTGGGTAGTGAGCTAGGAGTTGCTGCAAGCACTTGGTCAAAGGTGAGTTTCAGTACCTTTTTCTTTTGAGTTCATTGTTTTCTTGGAGTCAAGATTGTGGATTGGTGTGGGGCAGCGAGCTTGGGCAGAAATTGCAAGCCAAAGGACCCTTCTAGAGCGCAATGAGGTGTTGCGAGCTGGGCACATTAGCTGCGAGCTGACTTTTTCAATTGGGCAATAAGATTGCTGCGAGTATTATTTCAATTTGATCACATCAGGCTGTAAACTTTTGTGGTGAGCTTTTTTTTTTTTAATAATAAAGAGATGAACTTGTCTTCACAACGGGTGTATGCTCCAAACCCATGCTTTGTGTGCTTCTTCTCGTCTTCAAAGTTTGGTACATTTTCTTACTTATGTAAGTGGGCTTGTATTTTAGCAAGATTGCAAGGTGTACCTTGGCCTTTAGTGTGTCATTTGCTGTAGGTGAGCATTACCCTTGCAATTGGGTTGAAATTCTGCCTTTTTGCATTTTCTTCTTCTTTGTAGTGCATGATCTGAATGCCGAATAGGTAAGTCTCTGCCATAATCAAGCTTCCATAGTGGTAGAGATTTACATGATAAAGGCAACTTTTGATTTATGGTTCTTGGGTTTATGCAGGTGAGGCTTTATAATATGGTTAAGGCGAAAGGGGGAGGCGTTGTTCCTCGCTGTGGTGCAGTGCAACAGCCACTAGTTGGCTTTTCTGGCATTTCTAAGTCAAAAAAGGGTAAATCCAAGAAGTGACCTTTCAAGGCAAAGGATGTAGAAGCGGCCACCATACGTGCATTCAGCGAATTATTGGTGTAGGGCGCTGTTCTTTGGTGCACCGGACTTATTGTGGGCAAGGGTAGACTTATTTGACGACGATGGTGGGAGCACATTTGGAGTTTCTTTTGGAGGGGTTGAGCTAGAGGAAGGGACTTAGGCTTTTATTCCTCGAGTCTATTACGCGTCTTCATGTGGAGCAAGGCACTTGCCCTTATTCTTTTCTTGCTTTTGGGAACTATACGGGGGCTAAGAATGATTTTGACATGTGGAGCGCAGCTATTTTTCGTCATCCCTCGTATTGCGAGGTGCTTGCTGGTGCTACCCGCAATTTCTCAGTATATACGGATTAGGTGGGAACCATCCTGGCTAGAGTTTGTGCTTTCTCGATGGAGCTCCAGTTCTTACACTTTTGTTGCTCAGGTGGGGGAAGATTATCCCTACTCTGGAGGATGTACCTGTTTTGACAGGGTTAGGGCATCTTAGGTCGGCGAACCCTTGTGTTGGAAGTTTGTCTCTTAACTAGATGGCCATAATTGCTAAGTTGGAGAATGTTGTGGGACTGGTAAGGAAGATACTAAGTCGCTATCAGAAGAAAGTGTTGATTGATCCTTAGTCGCAGACACGACAGAAAAACATTTTTTGGGGGATGACTACGTTATTAGTTTCGAGATTTTAGCCATCAAGTCAAGGGTCCTGGTATCAAAGGAGATAAGTGGGGGAGTGTTGACCATTTGGCCGCTTTTATTGCATATACCGCGACAACCAATATGCAATAAAAGCGGCCAAATGCTCAACACTCTCCCCACTTATCTCCTTTGATACCAGGACCAATGAATCCATCCTCTGCATTTCCCTTGACTTGGTGGCTAAGATCTTGAAACCAATAACGTACCATCCCCAAAAGTGTTTTTCTGCCGCGTCTGCGACAAAGGGTCAATCAACACTTTCTTTTGATATCGACTTAGTATCTTTCCTACCGGTCCCACAACATTCTCCAACTTAGCAACTATGACCATCTGGCTAAGAGACAAACTTCTAGTACTAGGGTTCGTTGGCCTAAGATGCTCCAACCTTGTCAAAACAGTTACATCCTATTGAGTAGGGGTAATCTCCCCCCAATGGGCAACAAAGTGTGAGAACTGGAGCTCCACCTAGAAAGTGCAAACTCTAGCTTAGACAATTTCTGCCTAATTCGTATACACTGAGAAATCACGGTGGCAATCTTAGCTCTAGCCAGCACCTCGCAATACGAGTGATGAAAAAAAATAGTTGCAGTCTAGATGACAAAATCATCCTTAATCCTCGTATAGTCCTCAAAAGCAGCAAAAGAATAAGGGTAAGTGCCTCGCTCCACAAGAAGAGGCATAATAGACTTAGGAGGAATAAAAGCCTCAATCCTTTCCTCTAGCTAAACCCCTCCAAGAAGAACTTCAGATGAGCTCCTGTCATCGTCATCAAATAAGTTTGCCCTTGCCCAAAATAAGTTCGGTGCACCAAAGAAAGACGCCCTACACCAATAATCCACTAAAGGCACACTTGGTGGTGCTTCCGCGTCCTTCTTTGCCTTAAAAGGACACTTCTTGGATTTACCTTTTTTTGACTTAGAGATGCCGTAAAAGCTTGCTAGTGGCTGTTGAGCTACACCACGACGAGGAACAATGCCTCCCCCTTTCGCCTTCGCTTGCTTCGGTGCTTGCTCAAACCCTTGCTTTGCCTTTAATTTTCTCTTTATCGCTTTTGTTTCACTCTTTTGATTGCCCACCCAAATCACTCACAATCAGAGAATAGCAGTGATCTAACCTAACAAACCTATGGGTCAACCCGAAACCAATGGATCAGCCCCTCGATTGCAATCTGCCTCGTAGAATCACCTCCGTTGCCTTCGCTTGCTTTGCTAATTTAGGAAGCTTGTTTGCGATGGGTCAACAAGCCCTAAAATCACCAAAGAGTCTTTAGCATTGACCCGACCCAACCAACTTATGGGTCAACTTGAAACCTAACCCTTCTCTACCTTGTTCATCACCCGAATCCCTTTTCTCTTCGCAGCTCACAACACCAACATCAACCCACTAATTCGATTCGAATAAATAAACGATGTTAGATAAAGCAAACCCAACCACCACATCAGTAGAATAAATGAAACGAATCAAGCATAGTGATGGCTGAAACACAAGTGTCAAAGAACGACGCAGAGCACAACAACGAGAAATAAAGCAAGAACAAGCTCCAAAGCACAAAGTATTGAATAAAACGAGAACAAGGAGCTCTGTTTCTCTCACCAAAAACTCTATTTCTCCAAACATAGTGTTCCAAAACAAGGCAAGGAAGCAGATACAGGCTCCAAATATCTTTTCTCCAAGCCCAAGAGGAGGAAGCTCGTTAACCAACAAACAAAGAAGCGAAACACATGAGAACCCAGAAGATACAACATTACGTTGGGATTCTCCAGCTAATTCAAACTTTTGAGAAAGCAGCATGTACAAAAACGGGAATCAGAAGTTTAGTCACATTACTTCAAACTGCTCCAATAATTCGATGTGATTGATGTACGAGGTATGTACAGAACATTTATATCGGAGAAACTATCTCTTTACCCAGAAGATACATAATTCAAAATTCAAGATTGAACTTTTGCGGAATATTAAAATTTTCCATGCTCAATTCAATTTGAATGTTGAAAATTACAAACTTCTTTATGATCAATTCCATTCAATTTTTTATGTGGGTACGATACACCGGAAAATTCATACATATTAGAGAAATTTTATTCATATATATTGGAGAGATTTTACAATACAAAATATTACAAATATTCTGCATCAGAATACAGAAAAAAAGGGGAAAAAAAGGTGTTAAGGCTTTGGCAGAGCAGAGGAGCTAAGACATCAATGGTGTAGATTCAAGATTTCAACACAAAATTGATCCAAGACTATGGCTTCAACACAAAAGATGCAACGCCATCAATGCATGGGAGCAACTCAAACACCAAGGTAATTTCCACCACATCTTGTGCATCAACCGGTTGTAGACTGCGCGATTCAAAACCTTCACAGAAGCAAATCTTCCTGATTTGACAATTGGGCAGACAACTAGTTTAGGGCCTACTTCAACCTCGTCATCATTACAGACCAAAAAAGGAGGAAGTCAAGTCGAGTTCATGAGCTAAATCATGAGTTACCCTAACGCTAAAGCCATAAGTCTACCTCAAAACGGCTTGGAAAGAACGATAGGAGGGATATGGTGCCTATGGAATGATGCTGAGATCTCCTATGAAGTGGAGATCTCGCAAAACGACGTCACCACCCAACAAGCCCATATCCTCGTTCGGCCATCTCATGCCGGATGAAAATTAGAAATGTAAATTCCTGATGAGCAATTGAAAATCTCCCTTGTATCCAAAGTTAAATTTTTGGATTCTATTTGGACGTGTTATTTGTTGGAGTTGATATTTTTTGACATGAGCATATATAGACACTTCTAAGAGTATCTGTACAGGGGGCATTATTGTGAGTATTTGTATCATGCCCGATACGTGACAAGGCCTACAATGCCATGTCATCAATGTCCCGCCTGCGTGGCAGCCTGACAAGGCACCATGTAGACACATCACATGGCCAATACATGGCGAGCCCTTAAGGCGCCATGTCACCAATGCCCCGCTTGCATGACAGATTGACAAGGCACTAGGCAAAACCAATGCTACATGCTTTGCCTAAGCGGGAGCTTGCACACAAGCCTAAGTATGAAGAGCCCTACAACAAGTAGGCCAATGGTCCCCGCAGGCCCATGGTCCTTCATACCTCGCTCGCTTAAAGTCCAGCGACAATATAAGACTTGGATTGATAAGAGCAAACTCTTGGCTCTCCTAAACATTGAGATAGGCCCTTGGCCCATTCACCTATTTGGTTGCTTGGGTTGGGAGCAGGACCAAGGCATTATTGCTTGGGATCATCAGAGGATAGGGTCATGGGATCATCAAAATGGTTGTCTTCTTACTAAGCCAACTCTATCTTGACTAGGCTTGGAGAAAAGGCAACAGGGACCTTACACTCACACCACCTGATGCATGTATTGTACCCTTGCCACCAAACCGCAAAAGACAAAAGACCTTGTATCAGAAGAACGAGCCACTGTCCAATAGGTTGCTTGGGCTCTAATGCTTTGGGAGCCTATTTAACATATCATATATGCAGTAGGCAAACACAGATACACAACACACAAGCTTCACACGAGTCTTACAGTTGCATACACACTTAGACACACACACACACACAAGTGTTCAAGGTCCATCACTACCAACCTCTCCCTCTCCAAGCTTGCCTTGGTCTCCTCCTCTCTACCTTCGGTGATCTCAGGTCATTGAAGTGCATGTCATCTCCCCAAAGGTCAGCGACCGACTACCTGTACCCACATTTCACATTTACCCACAATACTTAATTTAGATAATGGTAAAATGAGACTTAAGGCTAAAAACCATAATTAGTTAATGTTCCAATTGGCCCAACCTTGAGATTATGACAATCTATAGGTTTAGCCACTTCTTTGAATTTACTTACTTTTGATGTATATATTTTTTATTTATTTAATGAAGCACACCATTGGGTTGGGCAAGCCTAAAGGCTACGCATTTAGCCTAGATGTTTTTGGTTTGAGCTCACTCTTTAGACTGAGCTAAGCTCGGTTAAAAAATTGTGCCCGAAGTCAAAATTGCGCTGAGCTTGAGCTAAGACTTGCTTAGTTTGAGTTGTGACTCTTAAAATAGTAGTATTTTTGTGTACTTTGTATGTAATTTATATATATATAAACTGATTTCATAGGTACCAAAACTTACACCAGGTTTGTTGGTTGAGCACTTCCATTTCAACAATTTGGTCTTAGGTTCGTAACATGGAGAGTAATAAATGTTCCTGTACTAATAATTTATATGAAATACAGCAAAGTGGTTGAATTTGGGGTTGGCTGAACTCACCGTGAACTGTGAAGCCCGTTGCATATAATGGGCTGAGCTGGGGTTGAGGAAACTGATTTAGAATAGGGTTGTGCTTGGATCTAGGATTATAAAAATGCACTTTGGTTGAGCCTCAAAATCCATTGGCCTAATTCAACCTAGTGTGGCAAGCCTATCCACATCCCTAGATTTACAAGTGATGCGAGACCCACCATTGATCCCAAAAGCTACAGCTCATAGGAGGAGGCATATCTATCCCTTTATTTCATAGCCCACAGTTCCTGTCAATCGGGCAAAGACCCACATCAGTGTGTGGTGATACTCCCATTGTTATCAAATCGCGAATCGAATTATGAATTGTGAATCATAAAATTCATTTTATTTAAAATAATATATAATTTTATATATTTATATGTATATAAAAATATATGCAGTGTTTAAACTAAACTAAATTATTAATATGACTAAATTACATATATGTATATATATTTAAAATCACATATGTCAATATAACTAATTATTCTCTTCTATATATCTTCATAATTTGGTAAAAGCGACGATGTTTTGTGCAGTGTTATTAAAGGCACCTAGGCCCACGTCCCATCCAGGCCCAAGGTTTGCGCCTTGTAGTGTTCAAGGCCAGGCGACATTGATAAGTTGCGATTAAGGCGTGCGACTGGGCCAAGGCGCATAAAAGCTCGAGGCCCGCGCCTTTAGGGCTTTTTTAATTTTATTTTTATTGTTGCTTAATTGATTTTGTTTAAAATTT